GTGTGTGTGTGTGTGTGTGTGTGTGTGTGTGTGTGTGTGTGTGTGTGAACTCAGTTGGGAGACAGGGAACCAGAAACAAGAACCTGCCTATTAAGAGGCCAGAAAAATAAAAGAAGCTAGGAAAGGGGGAAGCTTTGCTTCATTTTGGACTTTTCCCTCCTGGGCTCACAGCTCTCTGCATACCTGCCTGAAATAATCAATAGCCTTAGGAGCAGAGCCCACAACATTTCTCACTGGGCGTCAGGCTCCATGTTTGCGAAATAAAGGGAGCTAAACCAGGTGTTCTCTAAGGGTCCTTCCCAGCTCGAACATTTCTGTTCTAAGGCCCCTCCCAGCTCTGACTTTCCATGTTCTAGGGTCCTGACATTTTCAGAAAGAACACAGCAGCAAAAAATAAATGAATGAATGAATGAATGAATGAATGAATGAATAAAAAGAACACAACAACACTAGAATGTAAATCCAGTTCCTCTGATTAAAATCCATCATTCTTTTCACTCTCACACTGACCCTCAATCTTGTCTCTGTCCTGTCTGGTCCAGCACCCGCCTCCCCTCAAAGCAAACCACACTCTCCATAGCTGGGACAGTCAATAGCCCTTCCAGCCTTCAGGCCATCATTGGGGAGAACTTGGCTAATTACAACTTGGAGAAGGCATTTAGAGACAGCTTCTATTTAGAGGAGCTTGGCCCAAGGGTAGAGGGATTGGAGGGCACTTAGGAACATAGATAGAAAGAACCTTAAGACTGCTCATTCTAACCTCCTCGTTTTACAGATCAGGAAACCGAATCTCAGAGAAGTAATATGATTTGCTCATGATCTAACAAGGACTTTAATAAGCATTTCCTATATGCCAGGTATTTTGCTAAGCAGTGAGATTGCAAAGGCAAGCAGAAAACAGTCCCTGCCCAAAAGGAGCTTATACTCTAATGGAGGGGGGAGGGACAATTCATACATAACCAGATCTATACAAGACACATTCAGAGGAGGTACAAGGGAGTCTGAGCAGGGAAGCCAATGTTGTTCCATCTTCGTTTTTTAAGAGGACCACTAACATCCTGGGATGATGTCTTGACTGGTCCATGAATTGGATCTAAGTGAGGTAGTAGTCTCTGAGGGGTAAGTGGGACCAGACAAGGCCTCCTGAAGAAGGTAACATTGGAGCTGAGTATTAGAGGAAGCCAGGGATTCTAAGAAGCAGTGGTTAGGAAGGAAAGCATTCCAGAAAGCACAAAGTCATGGCGATTGGAGATGGAACACTATGTAAGCAAAGTGGTCAATATGGTTAAAACCTAGAGTAAGAAGACTGGGAAGATTGGAAGGGTCCAGGTTGTGAAGAGCTTTCAATGCCAAATAGGAGCTGAATTTATTCCTAGAGGTAACAGGGGACCTTTGGAGTTTATTGAGTAGGAAAGCAATATGATTAGATCTACGCTTCAGGAAAATCTCTTTGGCAGATGAATGAAGCATAGATTGGATCAGACAGAGGCTGGAGGCAGGAAAATGGATTAGATACTATTATAATAGCCCGGGTGAGAGATGGCATGGGCCTGAATTAGGTGAGTGGCGGCCATGTGAGTAAAGCAAAGAGGACAAATGGGAAAGAGGCTCAGCAGGAAAGAAATGATCAGATTAGTCAACTGATTGAATATGGCGGATGAGTGATAATGAGGTGTCAAGAATGACATGGTAAATGTCTGAGGCAGGACTGGAAACCAGGTTTTCCTACCTCCATATCTAGGAGTCCATCCAGAGCATCATAGTGAACCCAATACATTCCCTCCGTCCCCCTTTTAAGTTACAACAGGCAGAGAGAAGTGACTTTTACACTCCCTCAGGGGACTACCCAATTGGCGTGTGCCAGGTCCATCCTACTGGGTTGGACCATCACCTGAAGTTCTGTGATATCACCTGCGGGCTTCAGGGAACCTGGGCCCTCTCTCTTCCAGCCAGTCAGGAGAATAGCTGCTCTTAATGAATCCCTTTAGCTCCACAGGGATTTAGGTACCATTCTGCCTTGGACCCCAATCTCTGGGCTTCCTTTCACACAAAATCATGGAATATCTAAGACGGGAGGGACCTCATAGCCCAGTCCACATGTCAGAAGGAACTCTAAAACAACATATCTACCACAAGGGGTCAGCCAGGCTCATCTTCAAAGACCGCCGGTAAGGAGGAAATTGGCTATTTCTGGAGGCATCCCACTGCACGCTGGGACAGCTATAATTGTTAGGAAGTTTTTTCATGACCTCCAGCCCAAATCTGCCTCTTTGCAACTTCCCTCCCATGCTCCTAGTTCAGTCCTCTGGGGCTAAACAGTACAAAGCTAATCTCTCTTCCTGGTGACAGTCAATTCTTCAACTCTTCCAGAAATTAGCTCGTGAAATTAGAGCCTATTGAAAAACTCGCTTAAGCCTAATATTGTTAGGAAAGCGAATGTGCTGCTTCATCACAATCCAGTGCTGATCCACAGACACTTATTAAGCATCTAACAAGGAGGAGAGATCCAGAGGTGGAAGGAAACTAATCTAAGCTCCCTTGTTTTACAGAAGAGGAATCAGAGACCCAGAAAAAGGGCATTTGGCAGTGGAAAGAGCAGCAGCTTTGGAACCAGAGGGCCTGGGTTCAAGTCCCACCTTTTCTACTTGATAGCAATGTGACCTTGAGAAAAATCACTTCATTTCTCTGGGTCTCAGTTTTCTCTTCAAATAAATGAGGAAGCTGGGCTACATGGTCTCTGAGGTCCTTTCCACAACTCTAAATCAATCAGTCAATCAATAATTCAATCTCAGTCTCTGTCTCTCTGTGTATCTCTCTTTCTCTGTCTTTGTTTCTGTCTCTGTCTCTCTGTCTCTGTCTCTGTCTGTCTGTCTCTGTCTCTGTCTGTCTGTCTCTCAGCTGGGTGGTGAAGTGGATAGAGTGCCAGCCCTGGAGTTAGCAAGATTCATCTTCCTGAGTTCAAATCTAGTCTCAGACACTAACTAACTCTGTGACTCTGGGCAAGCCACTTTACCCTGTTTGCCTCAGTTTCCTCATCTGTAAAATGAGCTACAGAAGGAAATGGCAAACCATGCCAGTATCTTTGCCATGAAAATCCCAAATGGGACCATGAAGAGTCTGACGCCACTGAAATGATTCAATAACAAAATCAATCTCTCTCTCTCTTTGTATAAAATTCAATATTGTCTTCAAGTCTTCATTCGTATTCTTTTATCATCTTCAATCAAGTGCCAAATTTGTGATCCTCAGAGATTTGCCCAAGATCCAGGTTATAGTAGATGGTAGAGCTGGGATCTGAACCCAGCTTCTCCAATTCAAAACCAGGCATTTTTTTTCTCCTACACCATTCTGCCGAGTATCTGTAAGGCTTGGCTCAAATCCCACCTTCGGCCATAAAGCATTTCCCAGGCCCTGCCACTGCTAATGCCTTCCCTCTGATACCACCTTTCATCAAATGAGACTTCATCTGTAAAGTTCTTAGCACAGTGCCTGGTACGCAGTAAACACTATATAAATGCTTATTCCCTTCTTCCATGTGCTCTGGATGGATCTTGCATGTACCTAGTTGTTTATATGTTCTCTCCTCCATTAGAATGTAAACTCCTTGAGGGGCAGGGACTGGTTTTACTTTTCTTTGCATTCCCAGGACCTGGCACATCGTGAGTGCTTAATCAATGCTTGTTGACTGGCTGATGGGCAGGCACAAGGGATTGTGCTAGGTTCAGAGGCTACAAAGACAAAAGAGGAACAGGTCCAGTTCCCAAGGAGTTTCCGTTCTACTTGGGGCACTGGGGAGGACTACATGTACAGAGCCAAGTACAAGATAAGAGATTCCACATAGGAGGGCTCCTGGGTTATCCACATTGCTCTTCCACATCCTGGATAACTGAGAGCGGAAGGTGTTGGTTTCCAACTTTGCTGACATTTGTGAGGGCAATGAGGGGTGACCCTCTACCTCCCCCATGCTCCCCCAAAGACTAAGCCTTGGCAAGTAGCCTTAGCAGATCTATTGCTTTTCCTCAACCTTCCCCTGCACCCACCAGACCTTCCCTGCCCCTTGCCAGGGCCCATTGCTGGCTTACCTTAAACATCTGTTTCACCTTCTGCCGGGGCAGGTTCACATTCAGCTTATGAAGGAGTTGGAGGACCTCATTAATGCTCAGGCTGCCATCCCCATTCTTATCTGCCTCGTCAAATGTCTGTTTCAGCCACTTTGAAGCTGGGTTAGGGGCCACACAACAGCTGGCCTGACCCGACCCAACCTGGCTTGGCCCAGCCCCCAACAGCAGTCCAAGACCCAATCACTCCCATCCTGATCCAATCCCACCTCTAGGCGATCTCATCCCGCAGACCTTCCTCACTTCCACTGCCCAAACATGGGCAGAGCAGACATAGAGGCTGTTGGGCCTCTGTTGATGGGCCCTGACATCCAATCTCAGATTCTCAGGGTGATGGTAGAAGGGAACCTGAGACAACAACCCCATTTTACAGGATGGGAACATTTTCTTAGGCAGTTGAAAGGCAATGTGGTATAAGAGAAACAAACTATCATATTCTCTCCCCTGAAAGTATGAATATAAGATCCTGGAGAAAAGAAGTGGTTTCATTTCTGTCTTTGAGCCTCCAGTGCCTAGGACAGTACCTGTCACACAGTAGGCACTTAATATGCTTGCTTGATTAGTTGATTGAAATCAGAGCCAAAAGATTCCAACTCTACTGACTATTGGGCCTTGGGTCAGTCCCATATTCATAGGGATAGGAACTCGACCTGTAATCTCATGGACTAGGGAACTCCCAGATGAGAAAATTCCCTCTACCCATACTGATGCAAGTTGCCACCTTCTCTGCAGTTTACAATCCTAATAGAGTTGCTCAGAGTACTAGAGGGTTTAAGTGATTTGTTCTGGGTCACAAAGACAGTAGGTCAGAAATAAGACTTGAACCCAAGTCTTTCCATCTCTGAGGCTAGTTATCTATCTACTATGACATGCTGCCTCTTTCTCACTATCATTGAATCGTAAGGTTTTTAGAAATGGAAGGAAACTCAACAGCCAACAACCCATGCCAAAGAATACCCAATATGGCATCTCTGCCTGAAGACCTACAACCAAAAGGAATTTCTCTCTCCCCAACTTGGCCCATTCCACTCTAATTGCTAGGAAGATTTTCCTGATAACAACCCTCTCTGTGCCTCAGTTTCGCCGTCTACGCAGTGAAGAAGTTGAACAAGAACATCCCTAAAGTTCCATTCAACTCTAAAATCTTATAATTGTTGGTAGGTTCTATCCACTTATTTAAAAAGAGTGAGAAGGAAACATTGATTATCTAGTCCAACTCCCAAATTTTATAGATGAGCAAACTGAGGTTCAGAAAGAAGTACCTTGCCTGAGGTCACAAGGTTGATTCTTGGCGTAATTGGAACTTATAATAATAGCTAATGTTTAGAAAATATTCCAAGTTTTGCCAAAAGCTTTTCATCATTATCTCATTTTATCTTAAGAACAACCTTGTAAGGTATGTACGATCAGCCCCATTTTATGAATAAGGAAACTGAGGCTCAGAGAAATGAAGGGACCCTGCTCATGGTCACAGAGCTTGAAAGCATCAAAAATGAGATTAAAACCCATCTCTTTTTTTCTCCAAGTCTAGTCAGTCAGTCAACAGATATGTATAAAGTGCCTACTATGTCTCAAGCACTGTGCTAAGTGTTGGGAATACACAGAAAGGCAAACTAAACAAAACAAAACAAAAATCCTGGTCCCTGCTCTCCATGGGGAGCTCACAGACTACTGGGGGAAAGAAGTCTGTTGCTCTCCATTATTGCCTTTCAACAAAGAGGTCTTAGAAGATGAAGTTGTTATTTATCCTTCATTCTCCAAGAGGACCACGCCATCAGGGAGGTGATGCCATGACATGCAAGTGAACCGGGTTTAAGTGAGGGAGGGCTGTGCAGTCATCAGCCTCACTTTCTCCTCTGGAGCCATCTGAGTCCAGGGGCCAGACACATATCCGGACGACTGGAGATGGCCCTTATTAGATGAAGTTAAATTTACAGGGAAGGAGGGGGGTGGGATAGACTACCTCCTGAAACTCCCTATCCATCCAAAGATTCTACAACTACCTCCTTGCCCACCCCACCCCCAACTCCAGTTCCAAAGGATATTGGTCACGAGTTCTCTGGCGTTTGGACAGACTGTCCTCATCACTGATTCCTGCCATCAGGTACCGGAGGCCTGTGATCCAGGTTCGGGCTTCTTCTCCGTTGGAGGACACGAGGTCCAGCGACTCCATGTGGTCCCCATAGTAGATGCTGAAGCAACAGTTAGGGTCAAAGCTCCCATCAGCATAGCGCTGGAAAATCTCTGATTGTTTTCCTTCACACACCTCCTGGACAGAATCGATGGAGACTAGGGAAGAGAAGAGAAAGGAAAGGTCAGAAAGGTGAGCCAGCATTTATATGGAGCCAAGTGGGTTTTGTTTTGTTCTTTTACAATTGTCATCTCATTTGATCCTGGGAGGTAGGTGCTATTATTGTCCCATTTTACAGATGAGGAAACTGAGGCAGAGATGAAGCGACTTGCCCAGAGTCACCTAACTAGTAAGTGTCTGAGGCAGAATTCAAACTCAGGACTTTCTGTCTCCAAGTCTAGAGCTCTACCTGCTGTATCACCTGGATGCCAAGGAGAATCGTCAACAACTTTGTCATTTTCCCTCTTTGTTCCCCCACGTCCTGTATGAGGCATCCTTGTACATAGCGGGTATTCACAAAAAAGAAGGTGCCCAAATGAATTGAGGATAGACTTCAGTAAGAACCCTAGACCCAGCTCCTCAGAACATAGGCTGAGCAATGAATGCCATCTCCTCTAGGAAGCCTGCCCTGATTCTCTCCCTGGCTCCCTCCCCCTTGGTAGCCCATCTTCCCTTTCCCATCTGACACAGCATTTTTCACCTCTCTTGAGAACTTATAGAATTTTGTGTATTATTTTTATTTGGGTAGATGACCCAACTCCCCTTAACTAGTCTATAAACCCTGTGAAGACAGAGACTGTCTTATCCAAGCTTTTCCCTCCACCGCTCTGCCCCTACCTCTCCTAACCCCCAGGAATATTCTTTGTACACATGTAATAATATTTGACAATGTGATAGTGAAGCAGGAAGATCATAGAATTTGGAACTGGAGAATCTGGATTCAAATCCCACCGTGAAACCTTGGACAAGTCATTTGAGGTACCTGGGCCTCAGTTTCCTCACCTGTAAAATGTGGGGGAATTAGATAAGGTCCATTCCAGATTATACCCTATGATATCACAGATTTATATCTCACCTTAAGGTTTTCAGAGCACTTTACCTCATTTGATGCTCACAGCCACCCCTGGGAGGTGGGTGCTCTTATTATCAGGCCCTTTTTACAGATGGGGAAACTGAGGCTCACAGACATGACATGATATGCCCAGAGTCACTGAAGGAGTAGGTGAGGTGGGATTTGAACACAGGTCCTCCTCACAACAAGACCAGCTCTCTCTCCAGTACACTGTGCTTCCTCTCCAGTACTTGATATATGTCTAATTGTATTGATCCCTTACTCTTAATAGGTTGTAGAAAACTAGCAATCATTGATCACACACATAGTGAGTCCCTCCCTGCCCTGGCATATATCCTAATTAAGCCTGAAATTGAGTCTCCACAACCTTAGGGTAGTTTAGGGTAGAGGTGGTGTGAGATGCCCAAGGAGGCAGGAGAACGAGGATTTAGCCTTACTACTCTTTGATCTCCTGCCCTGAAGCAGATTCAGCTTCCAGGCTGAGGAAATGGCCTAGAAATCCCTTCTCTGTTTCTCTCCCTGCCCTCCCCTCCCAACCAGGCCTCAGAAAGGGTCAAAGCTGGGTGAAAGAAGGACTCTGATATGAGATGGGGGGGGATGGGGGCACCTCTGGGGAGAAAAGAGAGGGACAGCTCAGGTTACCAACTCTCCTCCCCTGCAGAGCCCTCTTCTTTCTGGTGGTAGGTTCCTCAGCCCTGACGTGGGCCAAGGAACATTGCTGGGAAAATGTGAATGAGAATATTACAGGGGTACAACTGCCTGGGAAAGAGAAGCCATCCAACCTCTGGGCTGATGACCTTGCTCTGAGGAAAGCTCCATGCTAAGAGAAATAGGCAGCAGAGAAAGAAGCAGGTCAGTACTGCATCCTCCCTTCCCAGCCAAGGATGCCAGCTCTTTCCAGAGTTATTGGCATGGGACATACAGCTGGGCTGCCTCTGCTCTGTGGCTGCTGGGCCAAGGGAGAAAGGGACTGGTGAGGCCAGCAAGTTGAGGCTGCACGCTCCTGGAGGTGCAAGGGTAAAACATAGTACATGGTGGGGAGAAGAGGAATCGGAGGAGGGGAGAGAGACAGAGAGAGAAAGACAGACAGACACAGAGAGACAGGGAGACAGACAAAGAGAGAGAGAGAAGGGGAGAGTCAGAGACAGAGAGAGACACACACAGAGACAAAAAGAAAGAGAGACAGAGACAGAGAGGGAAAGAGAGAATAGAAGAGAGGAGAGGGGCTAAGGAGGGAGAGACAGACAAAAAAGAGAAATAATAGAAGAGAGGAGGAAAAAGGGAGAAGAGGGAGAGAGGGAGAGATAGAAAGAGACAGAGAGAAAGAGAGAGAGAATATAAGAGAGAAGGATGGGGTGGGGGAGAGAGGGAGAGAGAGAAATTGAGGGAGGGAGGAAGGATGAGAGAGAGGGGAAGAGGTAAGAGAGAGACAGAAGGAAGAAAGGATAGAAAAAATCGAGACTAGAAAAGCCAGCAGTGAAAAAACAATTCTATCATCTGAGTTCTGTCCCCACATAAATGTCCCCTCCAGGGACATGTAATTCTCCTGGGCTAGATGACAGGGGAGCCATCCATCTTTCCAATAACAAGGACAACTGAGGCCCAGGGCTGACTCTTTTATGTGTTTTCAGGCAGGTCCTTTCTCTAATCTTAGCCCAGGTTCTGGTAAAGGGTTTATTACGACTCCAGGTTTCGAGGAGTGAGGGAGCTATTTTTGTCATTATTGTTGTTATCTCATGTCTCTGAAAAGTAAGGGGAGTAAAGGCTTAGAGGAAGGCCTGCAGTCCAGAAGGTATACTCTGTGAGAGAATCTCTGGGTGGGATGCAAAGAGGAAGATGGGCTAGGGTGGGCACTCAGGGAGAAAATGCCCACGCCAACGAGATCCCAACTCTCGAGTCTGCAAAGTGCTTCCTACGTTATTTCACTTGATCTTCACAACACCCTTGTGAGATAGGCCATGTAACTATCCCCATTTTAGGATTGAGGAAACTGAGGCTCAGAGGTGACTTCTCTAGGATCACACAGTTAGTGAGAGTCTAAAGCAGACTTCAAAGGTCTTGACTTCTGGCCCAGTACTCTAGACATTACACCACTCAAGACTGCCAAAATCTGCATTGAATTCCTTACCCTTCCCTACCACTATATGGTGGAGACATAGTAGAAAGTCTGGGTTTAAATTCCTGCAGCTGTGAAACCACTCTGAGCCTCAGTTTCCTCATCTGTAAAATGAAGGGACTAGACTAGTTGACCTCTAAGGCCTCTTTCAGCTATGTGACCCTGGTCCTAAGATCCTAGAAGCACTCTGGACACCCAGCTGCTAGCAAGTGTCTAACACAAGCTGCTAGTAAACACCTAACACAAGCTTCAAACCCAGGTCTTCTTGACCCAAGGCCAGTGTTCTGTTCCCTGCATTAAGGTTCATGCCTTCTCAAGGCATGGCATGGTGGGAACCTTTGGAGGGCTATTGAAGGCTATGGGAGTGAAGTACAGGCTTTGGAATGGTCATTGGTTTGAAGAGCTTTGTTGCTGGGCTATACGCCTGCTGTTTGAATCAAGTCAAGAAGCCTACTATGTGTCAGGCACTGTGCCGAGTGCTGAGTGTGAGAACCAACTTGACTAAGTCTAGAGATTTAAGTCCCCAGGAGATCAGCCTCAAGGTGATAGATTTTTTCAGCCTTAGGTGCTCTCCCAGACCACCTGTTCGGTCATGAGTTGGGAACAGGAATGGTAGAGGGCAGACCTGCACAGATTCAATCACAGATCTTGGAAGTGTTGAAGCAAAGAGCACTGTAAGTGTCAGGAAAGAAAGGTGAACTCAAGAGATGAATCTTAGGGAAAAGAAGGAAAGGGAAGGGAGAAAAGAAGGAGAGAAAGGAAGGAGGAATAGAAAGGGTAAGATAAAGGGGAAGAGTAGAGAGGAAAAGCAGGAGGAAAGGAAAGGAGAAAGACCAAGAGAAAGAGAAAGGGAGGAAGAGAAGGGGTAAGACAAAGGAGAAGAGGAAGGGGGAAGAAAGGGAAAAGGGAAAGGGGAAGACGAGGGGGAAGAGAAGAGGGAAGAGGGAAGGGAAGGGGAAAGACAAAGGGGAAGAGGAGAAGGGAAGAAGAGGGCAAGAGGTAAAGAGAAGAGGAGAAAAGAAGGGGAAAGCAAAGGGAAGAAAGGAACATCTGTTCTTCAGGGAGTGGAAGAACCTGTGATGAAAGCTAGATTCATTCTGGCTGTTCCTGTGCCTGAGTGTTAGAATCTTGACTATAATAAGTAGCTGGAAAAGAAAGCTAACTGGCCCTGCTTGACCCTCGCTTCCTTGGAAGACACTGTCAATCTGCTCTCCATCCTTTGTGCCCATCTTCTGAAGCCTGAGTTATGTGTGGGAGTGGGGGGGGGGTTGAAGAGGGGATCACAGAAAGCTCTGGGGCCAATTTTAGCCTCGAATCGCATGACTAGCTTTATCTGTCTACCTCTGCTCTGGCTTCTAGGAGGACGGTAATGAGAAGTGAGCACAAGCAACTTGTAAACTGGCTCCTCTGTAAGCAAAGGGATTACAGGGTTGGAGAGATGGGTTGGGGGACAGCAGGCTCAGAGCTGCTGCTTTCCATCCCTCCCCTCACTGGAAGCTGCCAGGAAGACGACAGTGCAGACCCAGGACTCGATTTCATTGCTATGAACACACAAAGAAACTATCCTCACTTGGCTTTTTTATATCATACCCAAATCACTTCCTGTAAGAGGTTAGAGGGTTTAGAGTCAAAGACCTTAGTTCAAATCCTGTTTCTGACACGTACGTGTCCTGGATAACCCTGGGCAAGTCATTTGGCCTCTTGGGGCTGTCAGGCAACACTAAATTACAGAAAAATTGCTGATCTTCACAGGTGGAGGGAGTTTCCACACCAGGAACATAGACAAAATCACATCCCATGTTTGAGAGCTGGAAGAGGTCACAGAGTTCACTTAGGTCACTTACAGTGGAAAAAAGGAAGGCTGGGGGTTTGGAAGTTTCCCGTCCCCTAGTGGGAAATGTTTACAATGAACTACGTATTTATTAAATGACAACTACACGCCTGGTGCTGGGGATACAGAGTCAAGAATGAAACCATCTGTGCCCTCAAAGAGCTTTCAGTCTATTGGGGAAGGCAACACGTTAAGTGCATGTATAAAATAAATAGAAGGTAATTTGGGGAGAGGAAGGGAAGGTATAGCTTCCGGGGGAGGCAATCAGAAAAGGCATCATGTGGAGGGTGACAGGTGATCTCAATTTTGAAGGAAATAGGATTCTAAGAGTGAGTCCAAAGAAGCTACAGGTTCCATTCAACCAGACTTTATTAAACACTTTTTACATCTAAGGCACCATGCTAGATGCTAAGGATACACGGATTAAAGTGGGGAAAAGTGGTTTGTTCCCACCCTCAAGAAGCTTACATACTAGCAGGGTATATACAACATGACCACAAGCAAGTACATTCAGAGTTTAGATAAAGTAATTTCAAGGGAGAGGTCATTAACAATTGGTGAAAGATTATTAGCAAAGAAAAGTCTCGTGTGAAAGTTATTGCTTGGGCTCAACTTAGAGAAGGAAGCCAAGCATTCCCTAAATGGTGAGTATGGGAATTCAAAGCCCTCTTTCTTTGGAGGGATTAGAAGGTCACCTTCAGAAAGCCTTCCCAGATTGGCCCTGTCCTAACCAGAGTTACATTTATTGTGTTCATTCTTTCTTAGTACTTACAAAGTCAACTTGCTTAATCATTGCTTGGCCACAAGAGTCCTGAAGTGCGGCTAATTCTTCCTATATACCCTTGGATGGTGGGGCTCATTTTTGTTTGTTTTTTGGTGTTGGGATTTTAAAGCTGGAAAGGATCTTCTACCAGACCACTTGGTCTGATTCCCTAAGCAGAAGCGGTAGAAACGCCATGTGCAATTGCCCTAGCTTTGGAAGGCCAAGTCAAGTTTTTGAACTATTTCAATCTGGCACATAGATTCAGTGCCTAGCAATGAAATCGAGCCCTGGTCTGCACTGTCTTCTTCCTGCCAGCTTCCAGTGAGGGGAGGGATGGAAAGCAGCAGCTCTGAGTCTGCTGTCCCCCTAACTCATCTTTCCAGCCCTTAATCCCCTTGCTTACATAGGAGTCAATTTACATGTTGCTAGTGCCCTTCTCTTTGCCAATATCCAACTTCTGAACTTCTAGTCCTAGCTCTGGGAAGTAAGTATGGGGAGAGCACAAGGGTTCTTATCCTGGCTTCCATGCATTGGTTTTTATTTAAAATATTTTGATAACTGTTATTTCCATATCAGTAGTTTCTTTTGTAATCCCAAGTGCTTTATTTAATGCATTTAAAAATATGGTTTTGAGGAGTCCAGAGACTTCAGCAGACTACAAAAGGCAGACATGACACAAAAAAATGTTGAGATGCCCTGGTAGGGTAAATGAGTGCTAGACTTGAAGTTAAAATGATCTGCATTCATATTCTAGTTCTGGTACTCATGGCATTTCAACTTTCTGAGCCTCAGTTTCCTTATCTTTAAAATAGGGTTATTCTACCTTTAGTGCCCAACATACAGGGTTATTGTAAGATTCATGTAAAATAACGAACATAAAGTACTTGACAAAAAATGTTATGAGAAGTCAACTGTTATTACTTCAAACAAACATTTGTTAAGCACCTACCATGTGCCAGGCATTGTCCTACTCGATAAGGAAGACAAACACGAAAGTATAACAGTCCTTGCTTCCTGCCTATGGGAAGCTGCACAAAGCCCCATCATCTCTGTAGGTCTCAGTTTCCTCATATAAACTATAAGAAGATTGGATTGGATGGCTTCTAAGGTCCTTTCCAATTCTGGATTCTGTGAACCTATGATGATCTCTAAGATCACTTTCTATTGAGGTCTAACATTCCAGAGCTGGAGGCCTCCATCATAATGCAGAATCCAACTACTCCTCCAGAGCTGGCCGGACCCACCATGGCAGGGCTGAGCCCTACTGCTCTCCCCTTCCCTTGTGAACAGTCCTCCGCTTGCACTCCTCGGGGTACCCTCCTCGTTCCCTGGCTGGAGGGCAGGGTCGGTGCCAGGAATGGCTAGGTTATTGGAGGGAAGATGGTAAAGAGGGGAGAGAGGAGAGAGAAGACTTACTCCCTAAAATTCACATCAGGATTGACCCAGATGGAAGGGTAGGAGCTATACTTACTCTTGGCTTTCTCATTCTTCCGCGATGGCCGCCAGCGGATGCACGACTTGTGCTCGTCCAGGTAGTAGAAGCGAACCAGGCCCTTAGAGCCGCCTCGAAGCTTGACCATCTGAGTCCCGGACTGCATGGAACTGATGCATCTTTCCACTAGAGACACAAACAGAGAGAGGGGACAGATCAGTTCAGTGTCAGACTCAGCCTTCATAGGATCACACACTTAAGAGCTAAAAGGAACCTTAGCTAGTGCAAACCTTGCCTTTGTTTCAGAGGAGAAAACAGAGGGCCAGAGTGGTGACCTGATTTGCTGAGAGTTACGCAACTAGGGGAAGAGGCCAAGATTCGAATCCAGGCTGTCTGATTGCATATAGGCCTAGACCACAGGGGCTTTTAACAGTTCATCCTCAGACAGGTAAATGGCACAGAACTATGAGTCTGGACATCTGATTTCTAAATACATCTCTTACATCAAGTCATTTTGGGACCTTGGATTCGTTCCTTCTCCTTCGTGGGCCTCAGTTTCCCCTGTAGAATGAGATGATAGGGCTAGATGACCTCAAAGGTCACTTCTAACCCTGACCTCCCAAGTCTTTAAAGGATTTTCCCAATGGCTTAAATTTCTATTAATAATAGGCAGCATAGGATGGTGACTAGAGAGCGAGGCTTGGAGCTGGGGAGATCTGGGTTCAAGTGTTGGTTCTGATTCACAGTGGTGTGATGTCTGAGCCTCTCAGTGGAGAGGACATTCTACAGGGCCTTTGGCAATTAGAGCAGGAGGAGCTAGTGACTGAGTCCTGGACTTGGAGGACAAGAAGATCTGGGTTCAAAACCTGCCTCTGGCATTTACTAGCTATATCGTTGATCAGTCGTTTTCAGTCATGTCCAACTGTTTGTGATCCCATTTTTCTTGGTAAAGACATTGGAGTGGTTTGCCATTTCTTTCTCCAGCTCATTTTACAGATGAGAAAACTGAGGCAAACAGGGTCAAGTAATTTGCCCAGGGTCACACAGCTGTAAGTGTCAGAGGCTGGATTTGAACTCAGAAAGATGGGTCTTCCTGACTCTAGGCTTGGCACTCTATCCTCTGAACCACCTAGCTGCCCTTACTAGCTATGTAACTCATCTGTAAAATGGAGACAATCACTACCTCACAGGGTTATTCTGAAACTCCAACAAAAATGTATGTAAAACACTTTGTAAATTTTAGTATTGTGCAGTGAAAGAGTAGAGGGTCTGGAGTCAGGAAAAGCTGACTTCAGATCTGGCCTCAGACACTGTGTGACCCTGGGCAAGTCACTTAACCTGTTTGTCTCAATTTCCTCATCTATAAAATGGGGATGATAATAGCATCTACCCTCCCAAGGCTGTTGTAAGGATCACATTAGACATAACTGTAAAGCACTTAGCACAGTGCCTGGCATATAGAAAGTGCTAGATAAATGTTAGTTATGTTGTTGTTGTTATGTTACAGGGGAGTTGCCAATCTGCACTGGTGGAGGGACATTCCACACTAGGAATTTGAGAAATTGATGAAATCAAATTTGCCCCTCCCCCCACCATGTTGATGGTCATTATTTATATTTACTTAACACTTGACATTTTTCAATGTATTTTTAAAATTACATTTTATTTTTACAATTTCCCTTTTCTCCATGTTCTCTCCACTCCACATTGAGAAAGTAAGGAAAACAAAACCCCTGTGGCAAACTTCAATCGACTTTTATATCCATTATCTCATTGCTTCCCAACATCCCATTTGAGAAAGAGTGCATATATCTATTATCAGCCCCATTAACCCTTGAACCCAGATCTCCCGATTCCCAGTTCAATGGGCTTTCTACTTCTGCTCATTTAAAAAGCTGGATTCCTTACTGTTAAGCATCCCTAGAAGATAAAATTGATGATGCCTGTGTCACCTCCTGAAATCTGAACCCCTACATGGCGGTCTATTCTACATACTCAAACCATTCTCTGGAATGGGGCAGAGAATACAAAAGGTCTTCAGGTATCCCCAGATCCAAGGTGCACAGGGGAAGGGGATTCCAAGTCTCTGACCATCTCCCTACCCCGAGTCTGTCCAAACCTTTTTGTTACTCTAGTTCCTATGGACCAGTCAACTGTCAACTGTCCTTCCTTGGATTTAAAGGCATGGGATTTCAGAGTTCACTTCATACTTCTGCCTTCTTTCTTTGAAGAACTTCTCTTACCCCCATGTCTCTGAACCAGTGGGCATAACCCCAAAGCTCTGTTCTTGATTCTCAGTTTAATGCCTGGTTTATTGCTATATGGGCCAAACAGCTGAGCTTTCCTTAAGGGTAAGGGAAGGACCCATAGTACAGCATGACAATAATACTGGACTTGGAGTCAAAATCCCTATTTGGATGCTGTGTGACCTCTGTACCTCAGTTTCCTCATCTGTAAAATGAGGATAGGCCACATGAACTCTAAGGTCTCTTCCAGCTTTAAAGCTATGATCCTATGATTTATGTTCCCAGCAGAACTACAGCTCTTCCATCTGGTACTTGGGTCATTTCATCTCTGGGAACCTCAGTTTCCTCATCTGTATGACCAATGGGTTGGAATAAATAAGTGCTATTGGCCCTTCAGCTCTAAATCCTATGCTTTTATACCCAGTCCCTCAAGATCTGCTCCCACACTACTGTCTACCATGGGGAAACCACTGCTTTCCTGCTCCCAAGCCACCCCACCTTCCTAGTGTGGAAGAGTAGGGTTATATGGCTTTTTTAAAACATTTTTTCAATTAACAAGCATTTATTTTCTCTCCCTTCCACCCCTCCCAAGTGAGAAAAAAATGAAAAAGAAAATCCTTATAACAGACAAGCACAGACAAGCAAAACAAATTAAGCAGACTCCCTCATTGGCTATGTCCAACAGTATATATCTCATTCTGCATCTGGAGTCTATCGCCTCTCTGTCAGGAGGTGGGCAATTGACTTCATTATTAGTCTGCTCTGATGCCTTTCTTGGTCTCAGAGTATGCCTACTCCCCAGCAGCTCCCTCCTACCAAGCTCCCTCCTTCTAATACACTATTCAGAGTCACTTTCATCTTCCCAGGCTTCTCTGGCCCCTGTCTTATCCTGTACCCCAAGGCCTACAAGAACAGCAGCCTCCATTTTCAATTTCCTAGCACTTTAAGACTTATAAAACTCTTTCCTCCCAGCAATCCTATAAGAAAGGGCAAGTGTTATCATCCCCATTTCACAGATGAAAAAACTAAGGCACAAAAGAAATCAAGCCACTTCCTTAAGGTCAGACAGGTAGTGAGTCTTATCCTAAAATCCAGGACTCCCCAGCAACATCCTGGTGCTGCTCAAACACAGATGACAGGGTAGGGCATCCTTTAGGGGAGGGAATGAGATTGTTCTGATAAAAGTCAGCCATATAACACTTGGGCCTGAAATGGAAGCACAGACACGGCCCTCCAGACTTCAGGGCAGGGCTGAGCTTTCTAGGTAGGGGCTGGACCAGGGGAGGAAAGGCAAGACAGAACCATGGGATCCTAGATCTAGATGGAAGGGACCTCAGTCAGGGGTCTTCTAAACCAACCTACCTCATTTTATGGGGGTGCCATAGTGCATAGAGCACTGGGTTTGGAATCTGGAAGGCTCATCTTTCTGAGTTCAAAACTGGCCTCAGACACTTACAAGCTGGGTGACCCTGGGCAAGTCACTTAACCCTGTTTGCCTCAGTTTCCCCATCTGTAAAATGAGCTGGAGAAGGAAATGGCAAACCACTCTAGTATATTTGCCAAGAAAACCCCAAACGGGGTCATGAAGAGTTGGACAAGACTGAACAACAATAAAACCTCGTTTTATTCTGGAGGAAACCAAGTCCTAGAAGGGTAATGATTTACCCAAGATCACACAGGTACTAAGTGGCAAGAGCAGGTGTTGAACTGGTCTCTTAAGACTTTAAAGTCAGGGCTCATTCACTGTTCCACAATGTGGAGTCCAAATCCTGCCCAAGTCTTTAGGGTCTGGCTGAAGGCCTTTCCACCAAATCCAGATCCTCATTTATCCCCCTCTCCTCTGAATTCCTAATCTAAAATTTAGCACTGACTTTGAGATTGTAGGCTTCCTCTTGTTATCCCTCATAGAACAGTGCAACTCACATTGTCATTTAACCTCTATTTACCTCAGTTTTCTCCTCTGTAAAATGGAGATAACACCTACCTCCCAGGTTTGTTGTGAAGATCAAGTGGGGTAATAATTGTAAAACACTTAGCGTTGTGCCTGACATGTTTAAACACTACATGGTGGTGTTGGTCAGTCATTTTTCAGTCATGTCATGACGGATTCTTTGTGACCCAATTTGGGGTTTTCTTGTAACTCACCCAGGGTTACCCAGTTAGTAAGTGTCTGAGGTCGGATTTGGACTCAGGTCTTCCTGACTCTGGGCCCAGCACTCTATCCATGGTACCACCTAGCTGTCCCTAGCACATATAAATATATGTATACACACACACATACACACACACACACACACACATATATATGTATATATATATATACATATATGATAGAGCTGTGAATTTTCCAGAAGAGGGGAAACTGAGGCCCAGAGAAGGGAAGACAATACAATGATCGAGCAGCAGAGCCCCTACTCATACCCCAGAATCCTGACTCCTCCTACTATTCCCCTCTTCCTCTTAGTGCATTCAGACAACAAACACTTGTTGATTGACATCAACTGTGAAGCTGTCCAAAGACCTCACTAGGTAAATAGGATCTATTCCCCTTCCTGGACTCAGAGACACTTCATTCAGGGCTTTCGGGCATCTAAACCCTGTCTGAGGTTCAGAGAGAAATGGGATGTCCAAGATCACACAGAGAAAGTGTGGTGTAATGGTTAAGGCACTGGACTTCTTATCTGGAAGTCCTGGGTTCAAATCCCACATCAGACACTTACTAGCTGCGTAATCCCAGGGAAGTCACTTAACTCCCTTTGTCTCAGTTTCCTTAACTGTAAAATTAGAAAGCTGAACTCAATGGCCTGTAAGGTCTCCCACATGCTCTGATCCTAATTCCTTTTGTTTTTATGTGTATTGACGGGGCTTAGTACGCACAATACCTCACACCAAGTTAAGTCCTCAATAAAGACTTGCTTGCTCTTTGACTGGCTGACAGAC